TTGAAGATCAACTAAGAGAATGTATGTCAGAACACTTTGTAAATTTGTTGTTGGAGAATGTCACTTCTCATCTGTTTTCCTTCCCATCATCAAAACTGAAAATAAAATAAAATCTGGTTGGGTCCCATTTCTTTTATGGATATTTTCATCTGCCCTATTTATAATTGAGTCTTACAAATAACTATTTCAGGAAGTCATTCTTATTTTAGGTGATATGTTTTCCTCAGAGGTTCTGAAACTGTGTTTTAGGAACAGCTGCTTCATGGAGGTGACCCTGATGTGTGTGTGTGTGAATTACTTCTTTTATTTCACAGGCCTTAAATGAGGAGTATGGGTGTGACAGGAGGCATTCTGGTTTTGTTTTGAGGTGGGAGGATGGAGAGAGATGGGAGACTGATTAATCAGGGAGGAGTGGTTGAAGCTTTCAACCTGGAAATACCTGAAGGGAGAGAGAGGCACAGTGACGTCAGGATCCATAATCAATCAGCCCATGTTAGGGGATTCATAATTAGAAGACTGCATTCTATCAGATGTTAGGCATTTATCAGAGAATGGAGTGAATTCACTTTTGATTGGCTATTCCCCAGAAATAACAGAATCTGGCTTTCATTTTACTGTTTATGTGGATAACTATCCTAGAATAGTTCATTTTATCATCAGTGGAGTGACTTTGTCTTATCCACTGCTGTACCCCCAGAACCTGTAATGGCTACTTACATATGGTAAGTAGCTCCTTAATAAAGACTTGTCATAAAGGCATCTTTGTAAGGCATCTCCACAATATTTACTAAACTGCTTTCTTAGACCATATTTAACACATACAATTATGCTTCTGTGCATATTGATTCTCTGCAGTATATTGTGTACCCATATAGTCCACAGAGTCTCGTAGGTTTGCCCTCCTTACCTTCTTCATACCTAACTCCTGTCTCCGTCACCATTGCTGCTTCTGTCATTAAATCCCTTGTCTCGCCTTGGTTAGTAGTTTTTAAACTGATATCCTACCTTCAAATCTTGTATCCCCAGCCACCCTTCCCTTTGCTGCCTGGGTGCACCATCTCTAAAATACAATTTTAATTACTCTCACGCAAAAGTAGAGTTTTTTATGTAAAGGTAAAACGTAACAGCAGAGAGGTTACAGCTGCGGTGTCCTCCCACACTGAGGTGTCGCAGTCAGGTGGGAGGTGACAGGTGTATCAGAGCATTGTGCACTCTCTAATGAAAATGAGCCCAGGAGGAGATAAAAATGAGCATGGTGTGCCTTTTAAATGACTCATGAAAACACAAGGATAGAGACAGAGCAGCTAGAATGTCCATTTTTTTGCTCACTTATATGCATCTAGAAAGAACATACTTTTAAACTAGGCTTTGCCAGAAAGACAAACTCTTTTCTCCAGAATATTTTCATTATGGCAATACCCTCTTTCCTTAGTGACTTATTTATGCTGTGTTGTAGATGATAGTGTTTTTGTTTATTTTTAATAAAAGTATTAATAAAGACACATTAATGCTTTTCATGATACAGGTATGTATTTTATAGTTACATATTTCAAATCATTAAAAGAATGAACCAAAAGTTAATAAAGGTCAATATAAAATGTCTTTTTTCCATCATCTTCATGCTTTTAGTAGGTTGAAATTGTGTTTCTGAAAAGAGTGATTGCCAACATACATTCGTTAGTCATTGTCATGCATTGAGGGGCGTAATGCAGCACAGGCAGAATGGTATGATATCAACAGGGCAGCCATCCTACAGGTCAGCAAATAGCGAGACTTGAATGTTGTCAATTACAAAATAGTTATACAAACACAAATCATATTTTATCCATTTAAAAGTAAATTTTCATCATTCTGAATATTTTCTTCCTTCAAATAGGCAAATATGTGCCTTAGACTATTGAGTAGGTATTTATACTAAGTCTCATTGTCTAATTTATTTCTTATTGTGATTACTTTGTGCAGGCTACTTGCTTTATTTAATAAATGCTAACAGAGCATATTGAATGGTATTAGGTATTAAAATACAGTTCACTGAAGCATTCTGCCTGAAGTGTCAGAATACATCTCAGAGCCAACAGAGCAGCCAGACGCAAGGGGGATCCTCAGAGGGAGGAAAACCACTAGAATGGTGAGCCATTCGTGTTTCTGTATTAGCCACAGTGTCTAGTTTCCAACAAAAATATTAGGCATGCAGTTAGAGGGAAAATATGATCTACACCCAAGAAAAAGGCAGTTAGTAGAAACTCTTAGCCTAGATTTGAATTTAGCAAAGACTTCAAAGCAGTTATTTAAAATATGTTCAAAGAATTAAAGGAAAATTTAGTATGAATGAATAAGTAGATAGGTAACCTCAGTAGAGCAATGGAAACTATATTAAAGACAAATTTGGAAATCCTAGAGTTGAAAAAAACAGTATTATAAAAGAAGTTTTTTGGCAATGGGCTCAAAAGCAGTTTGGAACTGTCAGAAGAATGGAACAGCAAGCCTGAAGACCCAGTAGAAATGCCCCTGTCTACAGAGCAGAAAGATAAAAAAAAGGTTGAAGAATAATGAATAAAAATCTAAAATCATGGAAGAAGAAATGAAAATTAGGCATAAAAATATTTGAAGAAATAATGACCAAAAATGTCCCAAATTTAGGGAAAAACATTGATAGATCCAAGAAGCTTGCAGAGCCCTAAGAAAGATGAACACAAAAACAATTCCTAGACACACGATAGTCAAACTGCTCTATGGTAGAAAGAATCTTGAAAGCACCCACAGAAAGTGATGCTTGTTACTTACACTTAAAAGAAAATACTGGAGATACTGGTTCCAATGATAAAATTCAAGCTTTTAAGAAAATATCAGAATTTTGGAAAACTTGTATCTACCAATAGCTTCCCAATACTTTGAAAGATATGTCTACAACAGTGATGTTATATTAACAAATGTAGTCTTTAAAATTATTGTATACTAAAGTGTGTCAGCATTTGAGAATCTGCATAAGGAAGACCTGCATAATTCAGTGAACCAGTATTATTTGAACAGCTGATGCATGATATCATGAAATCATTCACTGGTAAAAGAGCCATTCAAAGTGCAAAGGAGACCCAGTAGATTTTAATGTAATAAGAGTACAAAAAGTTGATTGATACAGCTTCAAATTCCACATTGCAACTATATTTTAAGAATCTGCCACTCATCAAGTTTGTTGTGATATCAAAGAAGAGTAACCACAATTATCTGAAAGGCTATTAAATTTTTAAATTTTTCTTCCCTTTACCAACTATATTTCTGAGAGTCTGGATTTTCTTTGTATACTTTGGAACAACAGATTGACTGCAGAAGCAGATTTGAAGATCCAGCTATCTTCTTTTAAGCTTGACATTAAAGAAACTTGAAAAAATGTAAAGCAGTGTTCTTTTTTTTGGAAATTATGGCTTTTTTTCATAAAGTAAGCTATTTATGTTAATATGTAGTGAGTTTTATTGTTACTTTTAAATCAGTAAGTTAAGTAAAATCTTTGTTTTAGTTTCTAATATAGTAAATGTTAGCAGATATAATCCACATTAACAAAGCTTTTTGGAGTCCTTCATACTTTTAAGTGTAAAGTTGCCCTGAGACCAAAAACCTTGAACTGTTTTGAGTCTTCTCTGTCCACCTTCAGACAGCAAATTCTTTTGAGAGCATCAGACTGGAAAATTGAAAATACCTTGTAGCCCAGGAGATAGTGTTCTTGAACATATGATGACATTCTGTTTTGTTGATATTCTTAATTATTTTCAAGTAGCCCATGTATTCTGCTGTTGAGCATGCTACTCACTGCTTCTAATGGCAACCTTTCTGCACAGCCCCCTTCCGATGTTTGTTTATAGACCTTTATTTTTTGGCAGGGAGCTTTACGAGGAAAGCAATAAGGGACTTTTGCAGTAGTGACTAATCCTTATTTTTTGTACTACTTCCTCCTTTTCTTCTGCTTAGAGGCAATCAAAAGAGAGCTGTTCAAAAAGTGTCAGAAGACTTCTATAGTGCCTGCACAGTCAATTGCTATGCTATTCTGAGTTGTTAATTCATTTTCAGGGAAAGAGCATTAAACATTTGAAAACAGAATCATTGAAGTTTGTTTCCCTTGGTATGAAGAATTATAAAGATGGTAACTGAGAGAAACTCACCCCGAATTTGTTTATTAGTCCTACTTATAATCTGTTAAATACGTGTGGCAACACTTGGTTGGCTTTGTTACCTAGTGTATAAGAAACATAAAATGTGCTAGAAATAAATTTGTTATAAGGGATATTCATTACATAAATGTGTAGTAAGTTTATTTTAACATTGCATTATTTTGTTCTTTCACAAAAATAAACTACCATAAACAAAGCAAAAAAAGCCCACCTACCTGTCTACTTGCATGAAACCCAGTTTCTTCCAGGTGTTACTGCTTTTCCTATTTCTGTATTCCTCCCCTTTTTCCATTGTTCTTTGTGACGTGATACTTACAATTGAGTTTAGAAGACCCCTTACTATTAATGAACTGGTACAGACCTGATTATTTTTTTAAGACATAGATTATTGTGGTCATAAAATGACCAAAATCATCAGATAAAAAGAGTTTCTGTATTTTCTCTTCTGGCCTTTTATATTTTCACCTAATTTTTTGGTAGTTTTGAAATATACGTATGTATAGACAGGAACACTAAAACAACTTTATACTTTATTTATTTTATAGTTGAGGTACATGGAAGTAATAAAACCTGACAGTTTTGCCCCGTTTTTAAGGGACTTGATAGTGATTTCCTTTCTGAATCATATTTAATTTAATTTTATCTTTGAAATGGTGTGGGTTTTCTTCCTCTTTGCAAATGATTATAGTTCTGAAAGTCACATAGAGGCTTTCATCAAAATAGAAGGGTTCTAATTTGAGGATCTAAATTAGAGGGGTATTTATGTGGGTCTAGAAATAAGACTTGATTATTCACCAGATGTTCTCTTAAGCTGCAATTTCCCTTGTGTTTTCTTAGGCCAAAGATGAGGAGGAAGCCTTTCTGGATTGGAGTGATGACGACGGTGGTGGTGGGTTTGATCCAAGCACACTTCCAGATCCTGATAAGTACAGGAGCTCTGAAGATTCAGACAGTGAAGATATGGAAAATAAAACTAGGTATGTGTTTACCATTGATAACATTAAATTCCTCAGTCTTTTCCTTTTAATCCGAAAGACACGCACAGACATGTCTTATGCTCCTGCCCCCGTTTTTAGGGGCTCCTTTTTTGCTTCTGTAATCCCTGTTAACAGAAGAGTGTTATTAGAGTGCTTTTTTTTTCTTTGTTCTTTTTTTTCTTATTTCTTTCTGAATCCTTTATGCTTAAGTATTTGACACACTAAAGTAGATTTAATGTAAATTGAGTCAAGGACTCTATTGAGAATGTTCTTAAAAATTCTCCCTGAATTTTAAAAAAGAGCAGTTACACTTTCACATTCTTTGACATAAAATGAAGTAGCAAATACATAAAATGGAAAATTTACACATAAATAGCCTTAAAAAATTCTCTCAATTTAAAATCTGTTGATTTGTAATGTGGGTTTATTTGCTATTGTGCCAAAACATGAAATGTGATAAATAATAGTATGACTTGATAAGCATTTGTTTTCTGAGTACTCTGTATTAGATTACGTTGAGATTCTATTGGCTTAAAAATTGAGGACATTGAATTTCATGGATATTCTAAACCAATAAGTTTATTTTCTAAACCAGTAAATTTATTTGGCAGAAAGGAGGCACTAATGACAGATGAAGGGATTATGGTTGAAGGGAATAGGCAACTTGATGGAAACCCCTAAGTGCTACTCCAGGGAATTTGGAGTTGAGAAATAGGTCACAGAGAGCTATAATCTGGTTTTAAGTAAGAGCAACATTAGAAAAGATCTCTAAAAGATTATCCCTTCGGGAGAAGATGCTGTAGGGAGATCATTTCAGAGTTATTCTTCATTTTAATCTTGTGCCATTGAAACATAGAGTTATTTTGTAATTGCGAAAATAATATCCAAAATGCAGTTAAATGAGGCCAGAAACTTGAGATGTTTGCTATTGTACAACTAGGTAGTAGATGTAATAGCTTTCTAGGACTTTCTGGTACTTGCAGAACTATATAGTGGACATTTTAGCTTTACTACTACAAGAGGCACTACAGGTGAAAATAACTTGATTAGGAGTTAGAGAAATTTATAAATGTATACTTTAAGGGTTAAATAATTTAGGTCCAGGGCATATTCGTAATCTTCGGAAATTGACCTTTAAGTGTAAAATGCAACTTTGTTTCAGAAAGTTCCTTGGTATACATGTTGAGACCTTGATGAACTATCATTATGGTTAGGTTTGCTGCCCCTTATGTTCTTATATAAATGTCCTTTTTTCAGAGTGATTTATGGGATCTCCATCTTGATAGATGTGCTCTAACTTAACATTGGTAACTTTATATCATTAACCTATGTTAAAAAAACCAAAATTCAACAGAGTAAATTTTAAAGATCTTTCTGGCTTTATACCATGATTCATGAATCAGGCAGCATCAATCCAGCAGACAGAAAGGAGCTTTCTGAAGAATATTCACAAAATGAAAGACTTTTATAGTCAGAAGGGGGCAGAGAAAGGAGGTTTCTACCAAAGAGTAGATTGTTTCAGGCAAGGTCACCTTCCTATGGGGGAAGGATAGTGCCTACCAGGTGGGTTAGTTTACCAGTTACATTCCTGGGAGAGGCTAAAACTGCAATTAGGTATCATGTTTTGGTTTGCTGACATGGAGCTTAGCACAAGTGACTCCATTTTGGGCCTGTTGTCTCTCTTATCTTTTTTTTTTTTTAAATGAAAGTTTAGTTGTTACACAATCTTATATTAGTTTCAAGTATACAACACTACAACACAGTGGTTCAACACTTATCCACATTATTTATTCCTTACCCCTGCAAATGCAGTTACTATCTGTCAATACAGAAGATGTTACTGTTGTCTCTTTTTTAAAATGTTCAAATGTTTCTGTGTACTTTTATTTTCAGGAGGGAGATTAATTGGTTCATAAAGTTTGTTATTTAGCCATATTTACACTTCCACCTAAGACACTTTTCAAACATAGAACCAACCTTTGAAATCATTGGCAAGATGCCAGCATTCCATCTGTATGTGATTCACAGTGATTTTTTTCCTAACATTGTTCATGATAGTTTCTGGGTCATTCTTAATCTATGTATAGCAAACATTTCATTTCATTCTTCTGGCATTTCTTACCCTTGTAGTGTTATTTCCCTGCCACCACCTAGTTAATATGATTTATTCTGTAATAGCTTCACGTGCTTCATGCTCTTAATTAGCCTGTAAATGATTTGTAGCTAGAAACTCTGTTACTTTGAACCAACACTTCCAGCTCCAGCCTCTACTTTTATCCCGGTGTTAGTGTCATAGGAACAGAGAAGATCCTAAAATATTTGAATTCATTGATTGATGAGAGATTTATATAGTAAAAAAGAGAAGTATAACTAGAAGCAGCTATGTAACTAGTTCTAATAGTTTAAATGATACTAGAGATGACAGAGTAGATGGTTGAAGAGCCAAGTTCAGATGGTTGTAATGGTGATGGATGGACAAGAAGAGAGGATATCTTGAGATGACAAGGTGTGTTAACTAAAGAAAAGGGTTCAGATGGAAAATATTTATGTATTACATGAAAATTAAAATAGTATCAGTTTTAGACACAGCTAGTTACTCTGTATTTGTGGAGATTGAAAGGAATTGGTAAACTTTTCTTAGACTGATGAAAAATTATCTTTTGAAGGGAATATCAACGAGTATTATTCCTTTAGCACATTTAAGGGCTTCCTAGCAGTTTTGTCTTTGTCTATAAACACAATGATTATCTAGTCCAACTCTCTCTTCTTACAGTTGAAGAAACAAGGTTTGAAGGGATAAAATAATTTGTCTGTGATCATTGTATAAGTTAAGGATAGATCAGTGTGATCTGCCTAAATTAAATTGCATCCCTAGTTCTGATACTCCAATCAAGTTATACAGAATTACTCTAGCATTAGGAGAGGTAGCTCAGGAAAACTGCCTGAAGACAAATTTAATGTCATTTTGTTGAAGATCTGATCCATGAACTAACCTATAGGATAGATTAGACTTGACTGTAGTTTCCCAACTTTGGCATTATTGACATCTGGCCCTGATAATTCTTTGTTTTGAGGGGTTGGTAGTGACTGCAGACTGTTTAACTTCATACCTGACTTCTACCACTAGCACCTCCCTAGTTGGGACAACCAGCAATATCTTCCGCATTGTCAGATATCCCATGGGGAGCAAAATCTCCCACAGCTGAGAATCACTGGACTAGACCCAGGATGGCAAGTACATAATTTCCCATCCCTCATCCAGGATGTGCTTTGTTTATATTCCTTTCTGTTGAACCCCAGCAGTCCTTCTCAATTTAGCCTCTCTGTGAATTGGGATTCGTATATAAGATAAAATCTATTTGCCATTCCTGGACTCAAAGGCAGGATTTAGGGTAAGTTACAAATAGTAGTCTGCATGTGAAATTTCCATTTACAGTCTTAGTTCTTTTTTTCTCCCTTTTTTCTCTTTGCTCTTAAAATTACCTCAAGGGCAATGAATAAAGATACATGTAAACTAAAACCAAAATTGTTCTGGGTAAGACAACTAATTCACAAGTAAACCAATATACACTAGAATTTTGATAGCAGTAATTATTACTGCTACTGCTGTTTATAACAATAGCACCAATACAGACTTCCTGTATTGTTCTAGCTTGACTACACCTTTCTTCTTTTCCTCTCATAAACATGGTTAGATGCTAAGATTTTGTGCTTTTAGCTTTATAGGGTCCTCCAGCATGTTCACAGGTGTTGCTTGTACTCTTTCTAGTCTTCATTCAGTAACTGTAGGAACAGCTAGTGTTCCTGCCTCTTGGTCATTTTTGCTTTCCAAGTAGGTTGTTCTTTCAGTATTAACTTTGCATTTTCAGATAGGAATTTACTCATATGGGACTAGATAACACCAATTGTAAAATGGCTGTTAGTCCCAAACTAACTAGCATGAATTAGTTTCTTTTAAAAGTTTCTTCTGGTTATTACTATTTCCTTCACTTTGGTGACACCCATAAATATTCAGTATGAATAACACGTCTCTCCCTGCCCTTAGCCGTGGAAAGCAGGCAGAGGTGAGCCAGATGCTGTGGAGACTGAGAGCATCTGGGGTCAGTGGTTTCTCCTCAGGGAAATCAGATAGGGCTTTAAAGAGTGTGTATCCGTCTTCTTCCTTAGCTCCTTGCACAGCTGCTGTAGATTTCAACAATCTTTACCCTTCTGTAGAACGATCAGAATTATCATCTCTAATGCTGAGATGCCATAGGGATTCTGGTGTGCAAGACTCAACTTCTTAAGTTAGCGTGACAAAATGAGATCTCTTGCTTATAATATGATCCCAGGGGCAATGAAAATAAGATGATCATTGAATTCCTTTTAAATTTTAAGCATGCTGCCATTAATATCTTCATTTATCCTAAGAAAAAGAGCTGTGAAATAGGGGGAGAATGTAATCTATCCATAGTACAGAAGGATGTCAGCCAGTTAGTAAGCAGCAGATGGCCAGACACCATCAGAGGCTCTAAGATTTTTTGTGCTATTTTTGAAAATGGGTATCGAAGGGAGAACTTGCTTTGATGCTCCATAATTTCATCCCTCATCTTCACCCAGTTTGTAAGTTAGTCTAGGCTGTTTTATCCTGTGGCTCTCCCTTTTGGCTCCTCCTTCGAAACTGTGGAATTAGCATAGGCAGAATTAAGACAAGATGTTAGGAATTCTTATTAAAATAGAGACAATTTGATAGCACACCTAGCTCTTTGTTGCTGTGGACTTTGTGGCATCATTGGTCTGGAATGTGGAATTCATTGGTCTGTTAGGAACTACACAGAAGCATTATTTGTGTGTCCAGCAAGTTTTGATGTAGACTTTTATACATTTTGAGCCAAAAAGACCTCAAATATTGCAATTGTCTTGGTGCTTGTAAGTGATTTTCCATATCGATATCTGCCACATAGTCCATATAATGTGTTTATACTGCTTTTACAATGAAAATATTTCAACAAGCTTCTGTA